GTTTTTTATAAATGGAAAATTCCCAGAACATGATTTGTTTCGTAGTGACATTTGTTTATAGAAACGAGCTGCCTATGAGGAAGTTGATATTGCATTGCTAATTGACATCTTGCTACATCAAGTGTCCACTGCCTTTCCCAAGAATTGGCAAGTTGCTTCTCTTAGTTCGCATATACAGGATCACGCAGACCACTGACTTCAGAAGACGGCCTGTTCTGAAGTGCAGTGCCTGAATGGCCTTGGGACTCGCAGGAACCCTCAGCACTAGTGAGCATTGAGCAGTTGCACATACAGCAGCCACTCCTGCTCTACAGGCTGCTGTCTCGAGCTCTCAGTAGGTAAGTCATGACATGCCAGTTTCATAACAGTATCCATATGCTACATATCAATATGCATTCAAATAAACAATAACAATTGCAGTCAAATAAAATAAATGAGTTATTTTATAGCATTCAAAAATGAGTTATTGGCTGTCTTCTCTGAGCCTTAACAAGCTGTTTTCATAAAAGGTATGATCCAGGTGAGAGCATAAGAACTGCTTTATGAACAAAGTCAGCTAGCAGTTACTTTTTTCTGTTGCAGATCACATGAGTATGAGGGTTAATAAGAAATAAGTCAGAAAAGTTGGTTAATTTCCTCCTCCATCCCCCCCCCAAAAAAAAAAGCTGACTTCATGCAATGTAAGTCAAGTGCAAATTCAAAGACTGCTATTAAAATAAGTTCAATAGAAATAAGATTATTAATGTATTTTAGAATTCTAGGAATTTTAACAACATGCCTATTTGAAAACATTGACCCAGAGAATCACTGACAAAGTGTGCTGTTAAAAATGACCAGAATTCCTCATACTGAACTGAGCCAAGTAAGCTGCTAAAAGGAAGTGGATGTTAGTTGTGTAATGCTTTGCTTGGTGCTTTTGTGTAAGGTTTTGCTTAGCGTCAAAGACGTCAGTGGGCTCCTAGAGTTAATTTAGTCTGATGCTGATGAGTCTAGGGCTGATGTTTTCTTTTACTAGAAAAACAAAAAACAAATATGACTTTTTATTAACGATATCATTGCTTGGAGACTGTCTACCTAATGAGCACATACAGCAACCACAGTAACACAGCCAGCCTTACTTCAGGCTGGAGCACAGCCATCATTCTCCCAGTTAATAAATATGACTATCTGAGATACTGAGATGTTTTGCATGGTTTGAAGAATGTGTTATTCTATTAAATTGATAAAGTTGTTCATCTGAGAAAACAGCAGGGTAGAAAACAAATTGAGTTGCAGTACAGGAAGTTAACGAAGTCACCGGATTTCCCACAGACGGCCAAAAGTACTAGTATAATCGCAGAGGAAGCAGATGTTGAGGAGGCAAACAAGGGTGCAAGGTCTCCCCTTTCAAAGGGAGCAAGGGACAGAATTCGGGTCGAAGTGGTGGAAAGCATGAAATGCTAGACAAAGAGACTTTGAACTGTGAGTAAATGCACTGTATCTTGTTTGATTCTGACTGTGTTCAGGATTTCTTGTGTTCTCATGAAGTATTTAGACTGCGCCTAACAAACATGGATTCTGTTAATATTTATTTTTTCCTTATATAATACCACAAGGTGCTGAGCTTTTGGCTAACTGTACAAAGCAAAAATGAGGGACAGTACTTTATAAAGCTCCATAACACAGCTATTAAAAGCAAAGTCCTATTCAACTTTGCTGATATAACATATGTTGCAGTAAAACATTGTCTTCTGGTTTCTTCTCTGTATTGCTAGTGACATAAATAGATAGAGGAGGTCCAGAGTCACTAATGTATTTTAATGGGTCCTCTTTTTAAAAGGAGGGATATTTTTCAGCTTCTGATCACACAGGGTATGTTTTCAATAGCTAAAAAAAAGTATGTAGTGAAATCGGTTATAGTAAAAGTGTGGCCATTTGTCCAACATTTGAATGTTGGAAATAATGTTTTATGAAGAGAGGTTTTGCCAGCATACATTCACTTGAACAAAGGACAATACAAAGCATGGTAATGAATATTGCCTAATAAGTGCGTATGCAGAATCATTTTTCATAATGGCAATGGCTGTTCCTGTTCAGAAATGACTACTCTGACAACAGCCAAAATACATCTTTAAAAAAAAAAAAATACTCCTGCTACAGCTAGAACCTTTTAGTCACATAGTTAAGTGGACACCTAATGCAAGTGTAGCTAATGTCTGCAACCTGTGGATTCTCAAAGAGATGACACAGGCTGGAACTCAAAATTATATTTCGTATTTAGGAATTGCTGCCGTGTATTTTTTAGAAAGAAAAAAAAATCCCCCTGAGAACAGCTGAAGATAAAAGACAGAAATGTGATCAGTTAGCAACCCTTGGAGGTTTCCACAGTTCTTTAAATAATTTCATAAGGGCAAAGCACCAGGTTATTTAAACAGATGACATGTATCTCATAGTATCTCTCTAGATTTATAGACTCCTTTACATAAAAGGAGTGAATCTTGTCTTTCTTGTTCTTGCCCATAAAGCTACATTTGCATTGTAGTTCTTGCCCTAGAACACCATGGGTTTGTAAGAGGAAAGCTAGTTTACTTTGCCTTAGATCAAGTGTAAGATCATGGTTAAAAGTGGCAGAACAAATGTTTCTGTTTCAGCAGGCCTGTAGGTCTAAAAATATAGGCTATTAGGATGAATTTGCATTGCCCAAATCAAGTAATGTATTCATACAAAATTTCTACTTCATACAAGCAGTTTGTTTTCAGCAGATTTAAAAAAAAAAAAAAAAGACGTGAAATGCAGGGCAATGTAGAAGTGGACTTCCTGCTTTGCGTTACTCACTCATTGAAATGGCAACTTCTTTCCATACGAATGTGGAGAGATCACTCTCTCCCTTTTTTTTTTTTAAAAAAAGAAAAAGAAAGCTAGAAAATAGTATAAGCGTACTTCCTGTGAGAGGATTTGGCCATTAGATTTCTGTTGCAGAAACAGACAAATATGTTAATTTTTCTTTATTAAGATGCTAATATTAAAAATGTAATTTTCATGTAAATTTCTCAAGCCTGATTTAACAATAAAATTTTAAGGCATAGAGCTGCCTCTAGAGTAAGACAGTTGAAAAGAAATTTCATCAGAAATGTATAACTTTTTGCTAAGCATCTATATCAAAACAAACAAACAAACCCATATTTCTGTAAATATGTATGACAGACATTAATGATGTGGAAATTTTACCAGTGTTTTTTTTTTTTTCGTTGTTGCTTTTTAGTATATTTGCCCTGTCTCTTAGGCAGTAAGTTGTCTCTAAAACAGTGACAAATATTTTTATTGAGATTCTGTAATATTCTATATCTATCTGTAGATGCATATAGATATCTAGAGCATATATAGGTATGTCCTATAATGTTCAATCACTTTCTGATGAGAAGAGAAGAATAGGGCCCACAAACAACTGTCCTTTTACATGTTAATGGAGGCTCCTGACCTCTGTTCTGGTTAATTCCTTATGTCTTCTGACCGACATCAATCTCTGCAAAGAATCCTCTTGGTTTCTTCCAGAACACCACTGACGGCCAATCTCCTCCTCCGAAATATATTTTTAAATAAAAGCAATTGTAGGTTTAAAACCAGAACTAGAGGTTGGGATGGCTGCTCTTTTTCCACATGGCCATCAGGCTCTCTTTTATATTTTGAGGTTTTTCTTAGAACTTTTTGTAACTATTTTTCAATCCTACTTCTCAATAAATGTTCCTATGGAGGAAAAAAAAAACTTCAAAACATAATTTCTCTTTATTTGCTATTAAAAAACATGCTAGTAATTGTAAATGGTTTACAAGCCAAAAATAGAAATAACAAATATTTGAAGAACTTTGGTGCAGTTCAATTAATAACTGATGATGAAGCAGCACTTTTCACAACTTCTGTATATTTTTTCTATTTTTTTTTGCTAAATATGACTAATAAGGTCCTCTTGACTACTGAAATAATGATAATTTGTGTATTTTAATTTAAGTAGTTAATTGGGCAGGTAACATTAAAATATTTAAAGCAGGTGAAACAAAATATTTTCTGCAGAACCGTAGAACTGTAACTGGGACCTTTCTTAGTAGTTTAGAAAAAAAAATTCAGCAAACACAATGAATCTTAAAAATAATAGTCTGGAAAGGGAAAAGATAAACAGCTTACATGACAATTTTCAGGGAACAATAAACAAGACTTTAGAGAATGAGGCATTAAACATCTAAAATATTTTATAGGCCACAGAAATGAGAAAGAACATCTTGGATGAGCAACATCTTGGATTTAGCAGTGTTTTCATTGTGTTATTCAGACCTAGAATTCTGAGTTTGGTGTAGACTAGTAATGCAGTTTTGTGAGTCATTAGAAAGCAATTATTAATCAACTGGAATTGAATGCATACAAAAGAGGACAGTAGGTGTTCTACCTACTGAAGATACCAACTCTTAATGGTTAATTGATGGGATGAGTTGTTGTAATGTGTCACACTTTTTTCATGTCATTATGGCCACCCATAGTGGGGCTTGGTTTTGTTTTAATTTGCCTATCATCTGCTTGATGGCTTAGGCATGTGTAAATATCAAGCTGTATTGTAACTGAAAATCTTCACTTTGTGGTCAGATTTGGTACCACCTTATTCAGAGAACTTGAATTTTCCATGGCAAGATTAAAAGGTTCTGTTGCACATGTAGATGAGTTGAATGGTCCCAGTATTCTCATAAAGTCTTACTAAAATCAACTGCCAATTTAAAACAGTGATCTATGAATTCATATTTAGTGATAAAATCAATTTACTTTAAAGTAATATCAGCCATGTAAAAAAACTGTGAAAAGATCATTCTTTTACAAATGATCACTCTTTCTTTTCTTTTTCTAAATGATATCCAATATAGTTCAATGCAAGTATGTCTTTCACCGGAAAGTGTGCTTTTTTGTTCTTTGTTTTAGAGAAAGTGAATGGAAGACTATGTGTGCAGCAGTGTGTTAAATATCAAGTTTGCTGTTCAGCAATGATGCACTGTGGGAAAAGACATATATGTGCTATAGTTGCATGTATCCTTGTATTTGGAAGCATTTTAATCTGCTCCTGGAAAGGTACTTATCTACAGAGTAATATCATTAGAAAAATCTTCCTCCAAGAAAAAAATGGCAGACCAGCAGGTTGCTTTTGTAGAGGAAAACCTGCTCAAAGTGTCATAACACCCTTAAAAGATAACAAAACTTTTATCATTGCCCCGTACTTTGATGGCAGAGAAAGCAAGGTCACCCGTGTGATTGGAATTGTTCATCATGAAGATGTAAAGGAACTTTACTGCTGGTTCTGCTGCCAGCCTCATGGTGAAATACAGACGACCAATGCAGAAATTGATGTTCACTCAGATAGATTTGGATTCCCTTATGGTACAGCAGACATAGTTTGTTTGGAACCACCAAACTGTGATCCAACACATGTGTCAATCCACTGGTCCCCACATGGAAATATTGACCAGCTGCCAAGGTTTGAAATTAAAAACCGCAAAGCCGAGGCCTTTTCTGTTGACTTCACCGTATGCATCTCTGCCATGTTTGGAAATTACAACAATGTCTTACAGTTTATACAGAGCATGGAGATGTATAAGATTCTTGGGGTGCAGAAAGTGGTGATCTACAAGAACAGCTGCAGCCAGCTGATGGAGAAAGTCCTGAAGTTTTATATGGAAGAAGGAACCATAGAGATAATTCCCTGGCCAATAAATTCACACCTCAAGGTTTCCACTAAATGGCATTTTTCTATGGATGCCAAAGATATCGGCTACTATGGCCAAATCACAGCCCTGAATGACTGTGTATATCGTAATATGCTGAGGAGCAAGTTTGTGGTTCTTAATGATGCTGATGAAATAATTCTTCCCCTTAAGCACCCAGACTGGAAAACAATGATGAGAAGTCTTCAAGAACAAAACCCAGGGACTGGCGTTTTTCTCTTTGAGAATCATATTTTCCCTAAAACCATATCCACCCACACGTTCAACATTTCATCTTGGAATACTGTGCCAGGTGTTAACATACTGCAGCATGTTCACAGGGAACCTGACAGGAAAAATGTAATCAATCCCAAAAAAATGATAGTTGATCCAAGAAAGGTGGTTCAGACTTCAGTTCACTCAGTTCTACATGCTTATGGGAACAGTGTGAGTGTTCCTGTGGATGTTGCACTTGTTTATCATTGTCGGGTGCCCCTCCAAGGAAACCTTCCCCGAGAGTCCCTCATCAGGGATACAACGCTGTGGAGGTATAACTCATCATTAATCATGAATGTTAACAAAGTGTTATATCAAACAGTGCTGTAAGGTCAAAAGTGAAACCTTTGTTGCAAGGAACAAAGTGCAAGTGGAGAGCTGCCCATGTCCATGGAGAGGCAGAAGGTATCACTTAAAAGCTCACACTGGAAATAATTCCACGTGCAGATTTTTGTAAATTTGGGTGATGGTGGAACGATTCTCTTTATGCACTGTATGAAGGTAAATTCTTTTTTTTTTTTCTGTAACATGAAAAAAAGGCACCCGGAGTAGATAATCTCCAAACTAAAGAACTTGAATTTGATCCAAAAAGAGCAATTCAGTCTTCAGTCATCTGACTTGTAGAGGTGTCTGGAGAATGTTGGGAAGAGCCTAATGAGACTTCACATGTCATTGCAGGAAACCTTTTGAATCCACACTTTTTTGAATTCAGGGATTCATCACTTGGGGAAATAATATATATCTTTAGTTACAGAAGTTAAGCTCTGAGAAAACTTAATATTTTAAGAAC